CATGGCACTTTCGGTGAACCACCATCAGTTAGACTAGGGAACTGCACTTCTGTCTGCACCTTCTATACCTAGAATCAGTTGGATAAAGTTCACAGTAATATTTCCCCCACTATTCATTTCTGAAGAGAAGGGCAAGCATATGTGTGGGCAAGGAATATTTAAAAAAGTAAACAAGAAAAAATGAGTAAATTAAATAGATTAGGAAGAAAGGAGGCTAGTCACTAACCCAATACCATATTGTTTGATTAACACTATTACAAAAAGTCATTTTGAATGCCAGAATAACCTATGTTAATGTCCATTAACTTTAGTTTACAGGACATGTTTTAAAATAGAGGGCTGAACTTTCCCTTTCAGATTGTAAAATTGTCAGTGATCTGGGCCTGACCAACAGACAACTGCAGTTTTTACTTACTCATCTATGCAGCAGCATGAATAGTGCAACTCAGCTCTTTTCTTCCTTAGTTTACCCTGTTGCCCTTGTGGGAAACTCCACCAAATTATAAGTTTACACTACAGCATCACAGCTGGGTCAGCCAGGCACCACCTTCTTCCATATTATTTGCATACTACAATCCTATTAGTCAAAATGTCCTAAGCTCTTCAAGCACAGAGCCAAAGGAGGAGCCAAGAAACTGTTACAGTGTTTACTTTTGTTTTCTTCAGATTATGAAAGGTTAAAATATTTTAATTACACAGTTTGGTACTAACACACAATTGGTCTCATTCTCTCTGAAACCATTCAGCGTTTCCTGCTTGACTATGCAAGCAGGAAGAACAGGAAGCAGGTTTAGCTGCTCTTGATAAAAGGTTGGACAATTTCCATCCTCAGCCACCCTGTACAGATACACACGCAGTTTCTCAACCCTAACCCACAGCAGCTTCCGCTAACGTGGACAAATACATTCTCTTCTCATTCTTCCTCCTTCTAAGGGCAAATCAGACAAGGCTCAATATTTAGAAAATTTTAAATACTAAGCTCAAAAGTGGGAGGAAGTTATCTCCCCCAGCTTACAGAAAGCAAAGTGGAGGAACTTCAGCTAATGACATTCCTAAGCTCACATGCTTAATAACAGAGACGGACCCAAACCCAAGTCTAGGCTGGGGCCCTCACATGTCTGCACCTATTTCTCCCTTCACTAGACTCTAGAGTTATTACTTCATAGCTCAAAAGTGCCAGTGCAGAGCTTGGGGCCATGGACTCAGACAACCCTGCAGTAAGTCCAAGTTAAATGGTTTTTTTGCAACCATAAGCTTTCTTTTTTTTTAAAAGTATCTAGACTGTAGCTGAATATGAAATTCTTAACTTATAAACCCAGTTATTAATGCAATGCCTGCTCAACTCTGCAACAGCAGCAGAGATGCACCTGCGATTCCATCCACCTTAACACAATAATACTAACATCCAACTACAACCTTGTTATGTTAACATCCATTGCACTGCTGATTAAAAAATGGAAGGAAGAAAGGCCTTTGTACGAAGATCCATATGACTGGCACCTTATTTTGGTGTCAAGTATGTAGAATTCAGAAGACGACATTTTCCCTTCATGTGAATACTGCATCTTCCCCCTTTCTCCCCCACGCCATTTCCCCCCTCCACAAAATATCAGAGTCCTTCCTGCTTACTTCCATACACATCCATCTTTGTCACTTTGTTTCTGCACACAAAAGCAGATTCCATCATGCCTCTTCTTGTAATGTATTATATACAAACACACACACACCACAAACCCTCTTCCTTTATACAGAGTCTCAAACTGGTGATGTAGGGACCAAAAAAGCACCAAATTATAACCACTGCCTATCCCTTCACTTCCTGTTTAACTGATAAATGTTCTCTACAAAACCATTAGTTGGCCTCTGCTGAACTTTGCTGTAACATGCTTTATTGTTAACTCCTAGATGGTGAGTAGAAGACTCCTGCAAATTATGTATGATACAAGAAGACCTTGCTTGTCACTGCACAGTAAGAAAAATTAGGATGCTAACAGCTTAATTCTTATGTTGCTGCTTAAAGAATAGAGTCCCCCTCTGATTCCTAGTATTGTATCCACGGAGGGGAAAGGAAGGCAGCTGATCAGGTGAATGCTTGTCCTGACAAAGGTAGGAATAAATATCCTGCAGTCGGTAGGTGGCTCCCTTTTTCCAGAGTGCATCCAGATGGAAAAAGCAAGCAGTGTAAATTACTTAACTAAGACACAATATTGAAAATTCAGCAAATGAAAGCCCACTTAGTACAGACAATGCTCTATGAACCAGCAAGTGGAAACCCCCTATCAGGTCTACAGTGCCAAACATGCCATGACTGCCAAAAGGAATAATCTTTGGATACCAATAAGTACCATGCTGAAAGATTGGGAAGACTTAGGCAGTACCACAGGCATTCTGGGGCCTTTACTGGTCACAGAGAGGGACCCATCATAGGCTATTTATTTGTTGGCTGCTCTTCAGCCATAGACTTTGAAGCAATCCTAACACGTAGACTCTTGTGCCTTAATTCTGCTGATCTGAAAGAGAAACTGAGAATATGCCCCTTCTTTCCTTTGCTCAAAGTTGTTCACATGTGGATCAGATTTAAGCCGTGGGAGTCTCAGATGTTGCATGCCTGGATCCTAGCATGGAATAACAACTAACTGAGGAAGATTTAAGGAAGAAAAGGAGCCTTGTGTGGAAAGGCTTTCATACAGAACTCTAGAAAAAACACCATTAGGCATGTCTCTCTGATCTTAGTGTGCTTAGGAAGGGTGGCAGATGAAGCAACAGATGAATGTCTTCCTCCTAAATCAACCCTCCCCCCAAAAACAACAACAACAACATTTAAAGTGCCAAGCGTTGAGTGGAAGAAGAGTTACAACTTAAACTCAGGAGACTTGATTTGCACCTTATCAGCTGGTACTGTACAGGAATGCCATCGCTGAAAAACAGAAATAGGGGACGGTAAAAATCAATGGCTAATAGGCAACCGTTGATCCTCTGGATCATGGTGTACTCGTAAGAGGTCTATTCAGGTGTCTGATGAATCTGCTTGCACATAGTCATGCAATTATCAAGTATGGAGGAGTGGAAGATGCCCAAGACCTACCCATTCCCACTTTAGACCACTGAGACAAGAATCCAAAGACCAGACTGAATCCAAATATTTAGTGCCTCGATGATTGTAGCTTCTGCCAGAGAGCAACAGATGAAAACTGCTGCGGACTGCCTAATGCCTCAGCAAGGGAGCTTCTGTGAGGTCCCTTAGCCTTTCTCTAAGCAAGGAGTTACCCACAGGGCAGTGGCGACTAGGGTTTTAAGGTGCCTTATACTCACCTCACTCTGGAGGCTATAACACTGTGTTATTTTATAGGAGCTACCCCACCAAAAGTAGGCCCACCGTGTTGCCACCAGGACCTCCAGTCTGATGCTGTTCATGATCATATCCAAAAACAGCCAAACTGTATCTAATCACTAACAGCAAGAGAATCACAGCTAAACAGGCAAACACTTCCAAGGGTTCTGTCTTGCTGCCACAAGTGCTAATAAAACCTGTGACACATTTAGCTCATTCCATTCTTTGTGTCCTTGAGTAAACGGGCACTAGGACAGTTAGAGCACAGGTATGGCCCTATTGAAACCTGATGTCCAAAGGAATCCAATGCTGGTCACATGTACATCAAGGGTGGAATCCACATAGACAACTATTTGAAGAAGTTCCTTATAATTAATTCTCCAGGAATAAAATTTCACCCATGGAAACTGATTAGGCTACTATACATAAATTGTTTTTATTTGTTAAGAGAGGGACAATAAAACAGCTTTTCTGAAACTGGAATTACACTCACCTTGGCATCAAGTTCATAGCTGAACTGAAAAAAAATACACAAACCCCCCACTGCTTTCAGTAAGAGTCACATTTGAACGCTTTCTGGCAGGCTACAGAAATTGCCATAGCCTTTAAAGAATGGTTTTCTAGTGGCAGTATGCTTGCTTGTAATCAGCAAGTCTGAAAACAAAGGGCAATTTGTACAAGTAGCTCCTGTAATAAGATAGGACCAAAAGAGACTCTCTCTCCCAGTATAAACAATGTAGCCTTTAGATGGATTGCAACCAATTCAGGTAACAGTTGAACACATATCTCAGAGCAGGTACAAGAGGATTGTAGACAAACTAGAAAGACTCCAGAGGATAGCAACAAAAATGATTGGAAGTCTAGGAAACATGATTATGAAAAAAGGTTGGAAGAACTGGAATTATGTAGTTGAGAAAGACTTTCAGTCTTCAAAGATTGGAAGAGTGGTTGTAAAGAAGGCGATAGACATTTCTCTGGGGTCAAAGGGGACAGGATTAGAAGTAATGGTTTTAAATTGCAACAAGGGAAATTTAAGTTAGATATTATGAAGAACTTTCCCACTATGAAGGTGATTCAGCACTGGAATAGATTACCTAGAGAGGGTATTGAATCCCCATCCTTTGAAATTTTTAAGAGTGGCTGAAAAAACAAAATTAGAGAGGGTCGATCCTTCCTTGAGCAGGGGGTTGACTAGATGATTTCCTGAAGTCCCATCCAGCCCTTTTTCCAGGATTCTAAGATCAACAGAAGCAAGCCAGCATTATAATAGGATGATCATATTATTAACCAAATGTAGGTCACAGTCACTTTCTGGTCAGGCTCTGTACAAGGCATGTGAGGCAATTTCATCCAGTTTCAGCGTTGGTGCCCCAGCTGCAAACCAGCAAGTTAAGTAGAGGCAGTACTACAGTGGTTCTCAACTGAGGTGCTGCTAAATTAAGAAAAAACAATTATGGAAGTCTTGGGTCTAGAATTGAGAACCACTGTTCTTGGCAACAGAAATAATTAACTTTATTTTATTCTTTTGTTTGTTAGTAAGTTTAGCACTTAATGGATTTGGGAAATTAGTGAAAAAGCAAAATCAATACATGATGTTGTTGCATCCATGATTTTTATTTCAACAACTTTTCTTATAACTGCATAAAGGAAATGCATTGTAGAATATTTCTGTAAAAAATAAAGAGGACTCTAATATGGGAACTCTGTACAGGCTTTGCTATGAAATTTTTATGAGAAGTGGGGAGAGGGGTCTGTTTTTACAAGTCTTGTGTCTTAGCAAAGTCATAATTGTTTGTGTTTGCCAAGCAGTCAGAGGCCCCAGATCAATGGCTTACTGTGCCAGGCAACTTATACATTTATAGTCTCTGCCCTGAACAGTTTAAAGACAGAAATCTAGGAAATGTTTCCATGAAATTTTGAAGAGCACAAGGGAGTGACACATGGTCCAAGTGCACACTTTGCTGACAAGCAAAGATAACAGGACCAAGGAAGGAGAAGGATATATTTCTGTCACTTACGAAGTACCATCAGGCTGTGCATGTACAACAACCAGCAGCCTCCCATCCCGTAGATGTAAGTATGTCTGTTAAAAAGATCTTATGTAAAAATCCAAGAAGGCAATTTCAAAAAGGAGGGCCCAATTTGTTTTTTATTCATTTAAAACCTCAAATCAATTGTTGGTAATGTAGCTCCTCCCTTCTTTAGGTATTTGAGTCTCTGTGATCCTTTTCTTTATCCATTTCTGATCCCTCTTCTCCTCCCCTAATCAGGTTCTTCCTGGAAAAATAATCCATACTTTCTGAATCTATGTAAACAGAGAAAAATCTGGTTCACAAATAGCCACCATGCACAAGCATTCTTAAAAGCTTCCATGAAGTGTAAAAAAAGAAGAAAAAAAAGAAGGGAGTGGATTTTTTTAAAAAAAGAGCTCCACAGTGGTTTAACTTTGTTTCCCATTGAAGTTAAGAGGATTATTATATTCTACTTCAATGAAGAGGATAAACTGACAGTGAGTGCTGCTTTAGATCTCAGCCAAACTGTAGAAAATAGAAGTAGCAGTAGTGTATTGAAGCCATCCACACACACGCATACACCCGCCCAAAATGGAAAACCTGCAATGTTAGTATGAAAACAATTGCATGGATCATAAGTATCCTACAATTAATATTCCAGCATTGGACTCAATGGTTAAATACCCAGCTAAATACTGACCAATGATCACACCCACTGTAAAGGTATATCTTTCTGTCACAATGAAAATTCAACTTACATTCTGAGATCATAGTATTAATGAAAGACTGCCTTAAGCAGTACCGGATAACTAAGTTTAAACCTAGCAGCTGTTCAGATGGGTCTAGACCCTTTTTCCTCTGACAGACAAGTTTGGACATTTAAACCCCAATCTAAAAGAGACACAACATGCAAAGCAATGAGTACTACAGTACATCAGAAGAAATACTAAGTCCTCTGTATTTTATAAAATTATAAATCTTTATAAAAGATTAGTTTTACTCATGCACATATGACATCATATATATATATATATATATATTTTAACATGAATAAATACATACCAATTTTGAAAATATATAATAGTAAGACTAGTTCAAAGCTTTCCAATGCCCTTTTTTACAAAAGGAAGCCAATTTTACAATTCATATATTATTTTTCCTTTGTGAAGTCATACTTACCATCCAAAAAATCTAACCTAATATCCAGTTCAGCTCCCTGCAACTTAACTGAATTCTATTAAATATTCAGGATAGATTTGGTTGGCATCAAAGATAACAAAGATCTTCGGATTCCAAGTGTTATCCACACAGCTGTCATATAAGTTCACGAAACTCCCATCTTTTGAGGGAGGCCTTACGTATTTTGGTTCGCCATTGATATAGTCACCAGTTAATACACGGGCAAGAAACATGACTTTATATGTTCGTAACAGATGGCGCTGAAAGTTCACACCATGAATCTGAAAAGTGTCTCCATGTTTCATATCTTCTTTGCAGAACCGACTAGAGTATGAAGCATCTTTTGCAAAATATGTCCCTTAAAAAAAAAAGAATGAAAGAAATTGATGATCATGTTGTCATCAGTTATAAAATACTAGGTTTTCCAATTCTGATCCTACTTACTTTAAAAGTCAAAAAGGTAACAGTTAAGAATCAAACCCTGGTCTTCTATGCTTGTAAGTCAATCCAACTAGCTTAAAAGAATTACCATATTTACTCAAATTTAAGACAACCATGAATTTAAGATGACCCCCTCATTAAGACAATGAGATTCTATACATGAAAAAATTTTAAGTTTGTTATAATTTTCCATGTACAGAATCTAATTATTTGAGGGTTGTCTTTAATTCATCCCTCAATACTTCAGGGGGGCAGACAGTGGGGATGCAGGTGGTGTTGGACTGTCAAACAGTCTGACCCTTGCTTGTGCCTGCTCCCCTGCCATCTCTGCCCCCACAGCCTCAGGCCCCTTCTTCCACCTCTGCTTCTCCCCCCTACCCAGCCTCTGCTCCCTCCACCTTCCCCCTTATCTTTGTTACGTGCAAACAGGCTCCATACCTGTTCTAGCTTGAGACACAGAGCATGGCAACAGCCCAGCCCCTGCAGCAGCCATGTGGAATTTGTACTGCTGCTATGGGCCAGGTCCAGTGCCCCAGGCTCCAGCATGGACAAAGCCTCCAAGCATGGAACAAAGGTAGGGTAGGACAAGGGGAAAAGGGCAGGAAAAGGCTGCAGAGGTAAGAGGGAGGGGTACAGGAACAGTTGTGGGGAGGGCATGCAGCAGCTGTGGGTATGGCCCTGACTCTCTATAGAGGCTGCAGCCTGAGCTGCAGTGGTTCCCCCTCCCTCACTTGTACATGATTCTAAGATGAAGGTTTCCCTCCCATGTTAAATGGGGAGGAAGGGACTTTGTCTCAGAATCAAGTAAATACCAACTATTAGTGGAACACACCAAGATTTTTCAAGGCATGAACATGGTAAGAAAGACTGCCTCACGAACTACCTCACACTGCACCCCAATTCAGTTATGGAAACTATAAGAACTGCATACAAAGAGCCTCCAAGCATTGTGCTAAGTTTAGTTAAAAACAGTTAAAAGTACGGAACCAAATTGAACAGGTCTCCATACACATGCAACAAATACCCCATGCAAACCAAAGTATGCAAAACACTGCACTACAATGTGATAAAGGAGATTGAATAAATGTACTATTCAAATTACATGGCTGGTAAAAATGTCATATTTTACCCTTTCCATATACGGAAGCATGCATGCCATTTATTCTCCAATCAAAGTTATGAATGCATATTGCTTCTACAAATTCATTGCTAGTGCCATGAAATAACATGTGCTCATTAATGGTAGGAACACTTCTTTTCTTCTTTAGTTGAGCTTTCTTCCTGCAAACCAAGCACAAGAAAAACTTTTGTAATCAAAATGAAGCTAACTGTATTTCCAAGATGGAAAAGCTACTCCAACAGTTGAAGAATTTAAGAGTTAAAATTCAAAGTTACAAAGTTACCCAATCAGAAAATGACTGAGACTAGGGACAGAGTTGCACATAAACGGGTTTAAGTGACCAGAAACAGGTTTAAACCTGTAACAGAAAAGAAGTTCAGTGCACTTCAGCCACTTTCAAAATGGCCGAAACTAGTTTAAAATACACCTGATTGGATGTAGTATCAGACTTAATTGATTTAAGTCAAACCGGCTTATGGAGCTTCTGTCCTAGATCCAAGAGTTAAATATTGAAGCAGGTGTTGAATATTCAACATCAGAATTTTTATGCAGATTAGACAAAAATATGCCAAGAATGATTTAGGTATAGGTGATCCTGTCTTGGGTAAGAAGGATGGATTAAATGAATTTGAGAGGTCCCCTCCATCCCAACTTTCTGTGGTTCTAAACGTTGATACTATTCTTCCATCAGTTCAGACCTCTGCCATTTAAGATTATTTTAACATAATATATAAAACATTTATTTTGGAAGTACTTAATATGGGATTATTGCAAGTAAAACCCAAGATTATTAAAACAGAAAAAAATACCTCTATTTCTTCTAATGGTCTTTTGTCTATTTGACAGCCCTTTTGGTACAGTGAGTCATTACTCATAACCAGTAGGCCAGGAGGCATGAGCCCCAGGCATTTATGGGTGCCAGAATGGTTTTGAAGGGTTTTGAGGCTTCAGCTGCCATAGGCTCTGGCTGCGCAGAACAGAGGAGCCAAGGAGTTAAGCCTACTGCCTGCCCCTGACCTCTTCTCTCCTCTTCAGCAGACACCATGAAATTAAGGGGTTTATAATCATCAGTCAGCATGGGACTTGGTGACAGTTGTGGGGACATGGGAGCAGGACAGGCAAGAAGCTGAATTCCTTGGCTAGGGGGACACCTTTCCCTGCTCCAAGCAACCAGAGTTTTTAGATGCTGGGAGTCTTGAGGCACCCCCACTCCCTGGGTCCCACAAACTAGTTGGAGCCTATAGCTGCCCAGGATGCAAACCCTACCTATATCTCTGTGGTAACTTTCCGCAAATGGTCTTTCACAATGAAAGGAAAAAAATTAAAAAGGAAAACACAGGACCAAATAATGTGTTCCACTGACAAAAAAAGGCAAAATTAGTATGTTCATCCCAATAACATTTTTTAACAAACAGTCTTCAAAACTTAACTGCCTATTTAAAAAAAAATGAAATGGATACCAAATAAAACAGTTTTAGTTCAGTATCTGAGATTTGTCTTAAAACCAGTAGACCACAAGACCCACAGTGCCACTAAACAACACAAACATCCAAAAATTATTTAGGTACAAAATGTATGTGGTATTTACAGCAAAGGTCACTTAGTGTATACCACAGGCCTAACTGTGCCATCAGAGCCACACTTATGGGTTTCACAAGATTTGAGAAAGGTGGTCAAGAGAACACCTGTGATAAGGAGTGAGTGCATATATTTCCTTCCCCAATTCTCTCAGTCACAGAATCATAGAAAATCAGGGTTAGAAGGGACCTCAGGAAGTCATCTAGTCCAATGCCCTGCTCAAAGGAGGACTACCCCCAATTGGATCATCCTAGCCAAGGGTTTGTCTAGCCGGGTCTTAAAAATCTCTAAGGATGGAGATTCCACAACCTCTCAGCACCTGTTTCAGTGCTTTACTAGTGAGAAAGTGTTTCCTAATATCTAACCTAAACTTCCCTTGCTGCAACTTGAGACCATTGTTCCTTGTTCTGTCATCTGTCACCACTGAGAACAGTCTAGCTCCATCCTCTTTTGAGCCATCCTTCAAGTAGTGGAAGGCTGCTATTAAATCCCCCTTGGTCTTCTCTTCTCCAGACTAAATAAACCCAGTTCTCTTAGCCTCTTCTGATAAGTTATGTGCCCCAGCCCCTTCACCATTTTCTATAATCTATCAGCATAATCCAGTCTTTTCTAGTTGAGTTTCAAACAGCTGGAAAAAAAAACTTTCATCCAAGGCTCATTCCCACTAGGCATCAAGCAAGCCAGTTAACCTTTCCAACTAAATCTGTTGAAACAGATACAAAACTGAGATTTAACCACTACACTGATGTTGAACCCTTCTTCCCACCCATAATTTATCTATCAGTATAATGACAAGAACAGAATCTGGCAGCAACTGGCCTAGGAGATAAGACTTTATTTCTTTTTCCACAAAACTGAGTCAATGTAGACAACTCTAATGCCAGCTCAATATGGTATCTGGAGTGGGAAGACAGTATGCATCTACTAGAATCCACAACAATAAATAATCTGCCCTCTACAGAGTTGAGCACTACCTATTATTGAAATGAGCCTACGGTCATTACTCTTTTTTACTAAAAATACACAACAACTATAATATTCAATCACTAACACATGAGCTTTTATGACAGAAAAACTAACATTATGGTGGCCAAAATGCATAATGAACAAATTGTGTCAAAAAGCACGTGCTGTTTGTATTCAGCTACTTATCTCCTCAAAGAAACAATATGCTTTTTTTTGAAAGAAGTCGAAATAAAAACGGATGTCATTCTTGTTCTCAAATGGTACAGTATGTGCAGCAGTGCCAAGGAGGTGGTTTTCAGGGCGCGGGGGGGGGGGGGTTGCAAAACAGGTTTTTTTTAGTTTAATATTCTCTTTCAAGATAATATACTTAATGAGCTTCTAATGACTCTAAAGATATCAGTATCTTGAATCCTACTTTTTCCCCATCATCAATCACAGATTAATACATTTTTTAAAACAGAAATTAAGTTTTTACCTGGCAGAGCAGGCTTGTATTACAGCAGTGCTTTCTGTTTGCTCTGTTCCTCTGGAATGTGAGCTTTCAAAGCTCCAAACTCAAACACTGGAAAGTCTGGACATGCTAAGGTTTACCGCATATCACCAGTTTGTTACCCCATACAGGGTACAGGGGCAACCATCTCTCTCTGCAATAGAGATGTCACAAGGAGCCTGGAATCCTTCTTTGTATCACAGGCTTCTGGGCAATGATCACTTTATTGCTGATGAGATCCACCTGCTCCCAATGACTGGGTAAGAGACACAGGACGGCTTATTTCACCCCAGATGTACTTTCATGGACAAGCTGAAAACAGCTGACCTTTGAAGATTGCTGCCAGTATCCTACACCCACCCCTGTACTGAAATAACCATAATTTATATAATTATATTAGATTTCTATTCCTGAATTCATGCTTCCAAGGATATAAGAGTGGGAACTTGACAACTTTAGAGCACAATCTACCACACTGAAGGAATAAAACAGTAGACCCTGCTGCACATCAATTCCTCCTCTAAGCAAAAAGTTAGAGAAATATAAAACACATATCTATACCAAGAACTCAGTAGTGAACAGTTACACTATAATTTGCCAACAGTTATTATTCACAAGACACTAGAAGTTACCTTATTTATTTATGTAATGTACTCACCTCTACCAAAAATTAGGAATAAAAAAATTAGGGGAAGGAAGTGTCTTTTTTTTTCCATCCTGCCTCCCCAAAACACAGTGCATGGCGTATTTAAAGGTACACAGTATGCAAATAAATATGGTAAGTAGCCTATAACAATTGGGAAACCTTGTTTATAGAATTCTTGAAGCAGCAAAATGGCTATCTTTTTATTATACATGTATATTTATACATTTAAATATACTCCATACAAATAGGTATAACAATAGAAGGTTAAGACAGAAGAGTGACCCATTCAAAAGACTGGAAAATGAGAAAATTAAGACTCAACATGCAGCCATAACTCATCATCTTTTATTTGAAAAGTAACTTATGATGAATATTTACAACAAATGCTGTACAATTTATTTTTTATCTTAATATTATTCCTTACATTGATCTAATTCTCAGAATAATCCAATATATTGGATTGGATACGCTGCCCCTTATATATTTCTTTTTTAGAGTATGCATCTGCACCTCTAGGGGCAACACTGTAATAATTATTTATGGTTCACAAGAGCTAAGGCTAACCAGGGAAAAGAGGAGGGAACAAAATTCAGGAACTTTTAATTCTTTTAGCACTGTTCAATACATAATGGGAGAAAAAAGCAGGGTTCCTCCCCAACCAGAAGAAGCTTTAGTAATACACTGAGCCTCAATTTATGGTGTAGAACAGTATCCAATACACATCACCATACACTAGCTTTCATAATAAGAAGCTAATGGTAAGCATCATTAAGTTCTATACCCAGAAAATATTTGGATCTGTGACAGGACTACTGCCATATACAATGCAAGCAAATAACAATTAGACAAATGAAGAAAGAGTTGATGGAGAAAGGATGCTGACACTAAACAAATATTTAAAATAGATGCACTTGAATACTTCTGCTACATTCCTTTAAAATTTGTTCAATTAACTAACTTTACTCAACATTTATTATATTAGAGATAATCTCACCTGCAATAAAACTCCCACAAGTCTAGGTTTTGAATTCTCTGAATTCTCTTAATTCGGTTGCTATCCATTGTTTTCGCAAAGAAACCAGAAACCTCATTATACTCATTTGTCTGTTTTTGCAAAGGAATAAGCTGTGTGTGGGAAGGGGGAGGGAGAGAGAGAGAGAGAGAATAGAAAGGTTAGTATTTTCATTGAGGTCCATATTCCTTCATCCTGCATGGATGTATACATTTTACATTTTTCAAATCATATCTTATCTCTTACCTGATATGGTTCATCTGTATTTACATTTTCCCAGTGTGGAGGCATGGGAATAGCCTCATTTTCACAGATGTAACTTCAAACACAAAAGAAGAAGTAAAAATAAATGACTCAAGAGCTGAAGCTTTTTCTTCCTCCTACAGAATTCCTACTTTGTAAAATATTTTGTACAGAACAGATAATTTAATAGGTAATTCGGTCTTGAAGTGGGATTCAAATTCAAAAGATGTTTATTGTCAACTACCAGGGACAAAAGCAAGAGATCTGCTAAAACCACCACCTATAGTTAACACCTGGGTGAATCACTACAAAAATGTTTCAGTGGCATGATGTGTTTTTTTTAGAACTAAAACAGTTTTATTGTGGAACTCACCCAATTTCTAATACAATATTGGAGGGCAGTAATAACAAGTAAGTTTTACCATGATCCAGCTACACCAAATGCTAAAAGTTAGGCTTCTAAATCAATATCTATGGATGCCTATATGCTCTGCATTTTTACAAAAAACTGGGAGCTGCTTAGGGTCAAACCCTCTGACAGTTAAGCCGTTGTTTAAATACCAAACTATGTAGGTAGAGCTTAAAATAATTGATTTAATACACAATTTATTTTAAAGCACTAAAATGGTACAACAATATAGAAAAAGAAGAGGACCAACAGGACACATGGAGTGCTAAATATAGACATGTGGAGAAAAAAAAAAGCATTTATATTTTCTGTAGCATACTGTTCAATTCTCTCAGCTGTTCTGCTACTAGCATTCTCTGCTTCAGAATGGAAGCCAAAGAGGCAGCTGCAAAATGGAAATGCCCACTATTGTATTTACCTGAATCCAAGATGACCCTGAATTTAAGACAACCCCTCAATTTGTTATAATTTTCCATGCATAGAATCTAATTATTGGAGGATCATCTTAAATTTGTCCTGACCACTACAGCAGGGAAAGCAGTGGTAGGGGGACAGGCAGTGGAGATCAGGCAGTGGGGGAGGAGGCATTGTGGAGGCAGTGGGGGGCAGGCAGATTGCTCCCTGCCAGTTGCGTTCCCCCCTGGCCACTTGTTCCCCTTGTGCCTGCCCCCCCAGCAGCCTTAGGCCCCTGCCTCCATCTCCCATCTACCCCCATGCTGCTTCTACACTCCCTCTCCGCCCCTGCCCCCCCACTGCTATGTTCCATTTCCCGGGTTGCAGCAGGAACAAAGCCTATGGCACTAGAGCAAGGGTAAGCTGGGAAGAGGAGGAATAAGGGGAAGGTTGGGCCTGATGCTGCAGAGGTGCAGAAGCAATGCAGGGGAGGAGTGGGGAGAGGCCAAAAGTGGCTATGGGGAGAGGGGGGAAGGGCCAGCAGTAGTTTTAGCTGTGGTCCCCACCCAGAGCTGAACCTGGAGTCAGAGCCAGAGCTACAGCAGCTGCCTGTCCCCCTGCTACCTCATATTTCATTCCGAGGTAAGTGGCTCACTGCCCCCCAAACACACACACAAGGTTACATGGGAGAAAAGCCTAGTCCTGGAATCAAGTAAATATGGTATTTCACACAGATGTTCAGGGACTGAATTACATATTGCGTTAACAATATAGGAATTTTGAACAGTTGAATTTATGCTTATTATTACAATGGCCAATTCTGGACAATTTCTACCACAGGTTGGCCGATCTCGTGCAGCGAGCTTTAAACTAGCTTCGCCAGGGGTTGGGGCCACAGGAAGACTTAAGGACACTTCCCAACCAAGACAGGTGACATACGCAAGGAGTACCCAGGTAAGCAACAGAGGTCCAAATAGTCTTGAAAATCGGGGGGGTGGCACACGCAGCAATTCAAGGCCTTAAATACCTCTATACCCATGTTTGTAGTATGGGGAATAAGCAGGAGGAACTTGCCCTCTGAATAGCCTGTTCAAACCCGGACATAGTAGGGCTCACAGAAACATTGTGGGATTCATCCCATGACTGGGCAGTTAACATTAGGGGCTATAGGCTTTAGAGACAAGATAGAACAGGAAGGAAAGGTGGGGGTGTAGCGCTCTACGTCAAAGAGCAATACACATCCTCTACCAGCAGGATGGGGTCAGAGGAGGGGCAGGCTGAAGTGCT